CTATTTAAAAAATATATTTCAGGGATATATATTTTATAAAAATGTGAATTTGTTTAGTGTAAATTTATTCCATGTTAAGACAATACACCTTGAGACATTTGTAAGTGTAATAGGCAAAATGCAAAACTACATAAATAATGGGCCACTACGTTGTATAAACGTATTCTAAAAGAACTGGATGATGCAGACAAAAACACATTTCTAATTACTTCAAAGAAGCAATTGTGTCTGAATGCTTTACAGGATTGAAAAAATCTGAAATTACTTGAAAGTTTGAAAAGAGACGAGGTGAAGGTACTTTTCTATTTTGGAAAAATGGCCCCGGAGGTACCATAAATACCAAGCTGACTTAACAAATGTGACACTGGTTTCTTGTGGCCAAATGTTCATAAGTGCAAACAGACACTGTTCAATTTTGAAAAAGAATATCAAAACAAAAGCCAACTTGAGGCTAAACCAACAAACCTTGAAGTGAATTTGTTCCACATTAAGACAATATGCCTGAGATATTTCAAGCTCTAACACCAAGGAAAGCACTATGAAAAATGTCTGGGTTATGATTCGATTTTACTGAGACCATCCGACTGCACAGATGCAAGAAGAAAAATCTACTGTAAATGGAATTAAAATGTCATGTCACCCACTGAGAACGCATGCAAGCACGGTGCTTTTAATGGATGTTTACGAGAGCTGCAGTTGTTAATAACGTCAGCTAGGTTAGTAGTAGTAGAGATTTATGTGACTGTGTAAGTGATGGGAGGTTGGGACAGTAACTATTCAATTCATTACACATCAGAAATTGATTTAACTGCTTAATGCAAGCTCACTGGACGGAGGAATATTTAGAGCTCAGCTTTCTGACAGTAAGTCACACTAGGACAACCCAACTTTCTACAGCTGTCCGCCAAATAAAAAGACCAGAACGACTCAGAGGAGAGCTTAAGTTCTGTCTTTTAGCTGAGTGTGTGCCCCTGTCACAAAGCCTGAGGCTCAACATTAGGTACTGAACGGTACTTCTGAAATAGAGGCCCAGACTGAAACAAGCACACTCAGTTTCTTTGGTTTTGTTTGTTTGTTTTTTCCCCTCACTCTTTCTCTAGGGGAAATGGTTAGAGAGTTGGACTCGTAATCCAAAGGTTGTGGGTTCGAGTCTCGTACTGGCAGGGATTGTAGGTGGGGGGAGTGAATGTACAGCGCTCTCTCCCACCTTCAATACCACGACTGAGGTGCCCTTGAGCAAGGCACTGAACCCCCAACTGCTCCCCGGGCGCCGCAGCATAAATGGCTGCCCACTGCTCCGGGTGTGTGTTCACGGTTTGTGTGTGTTCACTGCTGTGTGTGTGCACTTTGGATGGGTTAAATGCAGAGCACTAATTCACATCACTCTAAAGCTAAAAAAGGTGAGACTGACAGGTGTGAAGTCATGTAGGCATAGACTTTCAAAACTCACCCTTCTGTTAATATA